TGGGTCATTTATTAACAGAATCAAGTTTAACACATCACACATTTACATTAATTGGCAAGAATTGAAAATAACAACATCTTATTTAGGCTAGTTTAGCAAGGAGTAAACAACACGGCGATTGTTTTCTCACTTCCAGCAGAACAACAAACGTCAACCACACGGCGGTGATTGAAAAACTTTGCTTCAGACATTTCTAAAAATATCTGTAATGATTTTTAGCAGATAGAAGAATTTTAAAGATGGGAAATGAAGTTTAAGTTGAGAGAGATGTGTGAGGGAATTTGTCTGTTTAACCAGAAACATGCACGCTCCTTCTTTTCCAGCTTGGCCCAACGGTACGCTTGGTTGAGATCAACTCTTTTACCTTTGCAGATGATAGTTTCAGCGTTGGTGTAGAGCTTTCCTTTCAACTCTTTCAGCGTCTCCGTAAGAACAGCTAAACCTCGGGAGTCGTGAGATCATCCAGAACAGAAATTTCATAATTCCCAGATCTTCTCTCGTTCAGTTTGATTTTCTTTCAGCAGCATCCTGAATTCCAGCCTTCATGAACTCTGGAACTGCTGTTTCAGAACTGCAGAACTTCTTCATCTACTCCCAAACGACTGGAGCTGCAAACTCTCCACCCGACTCCAACTGGAGGTGGAACCTCTTGCAGAACTCTCCATCATCAGCTGACTCTTCTAAAACCAACTGCCAGGTTGAATTAGGAAGTGCCAACATTTAAAGAAAGCTCACTTCCGGTTCATTTGAGAACTTTCTGATTGGTCGATTGACCAAAACAGAGGTGTGTTTTGTGATGTAAGGTGTTATGAAAAGTCAAGGAAAAAGATTGATTGTTTAAGAACAGACAGAAGATTGTTATGAAGAATTCAGACTTCGTGGAGTCACTTCTCCAGTATCTTGCTGTAAAAGTTAAACATGACATTTCTTTTTCAGTAAACTTGCAGTTGACCGAAACTTGAACTTTGACCAACTTACACACTTGCTCACTTCAAACAGACGATCAAGAAATTGAATCATTACTCTGTAACGTATTCCAACTTGATTTCACTTTGAATGAGGATTAAGAATCATTATTACTGTTTCACAGTTAATAAAAATGAGTAGTTCACTTCAACATGTAAACATGGATTGTACTAACACAATTTGATTATCAAACATTTGTAAAATGGTAATGATAATAGAAAGTAGTCTTCTTTTACTTGATTAATTCAAGAAAGAAAGTCTCAGGATGGGTCAACCTGTATTTCTGGATTCAAATCAATGAAATGACAGTTTCTGTCCCATATGGTCCTTAAGGTCAAGGTTTTGACATCAGGCCTAGTTCACTACAAAGTTCAAAATGTGTCAGAGCTTGTAGATCTGCCATTTATGAAACCTTTTGAAATTGTGGAAATTTGTGTGGGAGAGTTTGTGTGTACACACACCAAAAGCTAGACATGGGGGGATAGCACCCCTCAAAAAATAGGGAGGGGGTAATTTATATCGGATATACACTCTATCTTCCTCACTCTTACTTTTGTGTCTTTCAGCTGCTGCTCGGCTGACTGACAAGGACTACAGCAAAACTCTCAAGAAGTGGCTTCATTATGTGCCAGAGCAGGAGGGAGGCATCCCAAGGAACCAGAGACCCAAACAAGTGAACCAGAGTCAAACTTAGGTTACTCTAACACACACTTTTCCTGGTTCATATAGTACAAGACTTAACCTCATGTATGCTGTTCTTCCATGGACAATAGACTGTTGTTCTGTCATTCAGAAAGGAGTCAAATATGTTTACAGATGCATGCATCTACTTGAATGACTTGCCACTTCAGCCAGTTTCATACCTAGGAGGAATGTGGCCAATCTGTGAATTAGATTAACAAAGACCTTAACAAACCCCTACTGTAAGGTGTGAGAGGTCAATCTGCTTACCTCACTTAACTCAAACCCCACACTCCCTGTTCTTTGAATTGAAAAATCTTCTCGGATGAGAAGCGAAACCTCTTCTGTTACAAATAAAGTCCAGTTGTTTTTGTTTTGACCTCTTTTGAATTTACCATGTCCTGGAAGACTGAGAATTTTCACCAGCTTATCTGTTTATTTTAATTTCTGACAAGCAAATGGTGCTGATCTGTTATCACAAACGGTATTTGTAATAATATCACCCACACCTGTTGCTCAGGGACAAGTCCAGTTTTTGTATTGAATGTTTTTGAATCAGGGACAAGTTGCTAGTTGTCTTGACCTATGACTGTTTTCCTAAATAAAATTTAACATTAATGCCATGTTTTCATTTTTAAGTATGTGTTCACACATTTTTGGAAATATGGTAATGTAAGATAATTTTGAACAACATAATACCAAGTGACGGCTGGTATCAGTGGGCTAGGAGGGCTAAGCCCTCCCTCCTGGCATTTACAATAAACATATTAAAATAAACAACTTAAAAATAACAGCTTAAAAATAAATACATTTTAGAAATAATGTCACATTTTGTTAAATTTACAACAAAACTGCTGTCAAACCACCTGGGGAAAATCCCAGGGTTGTTCCAAAGGGCTAAATTCTAACAACCCCGTTCTGTTATGGTTTCTTCGTGGTTCAGAATGATTGACAGACGTCTTGCCACGCCCCCTCAGTTTGTGGCTCACTGGGGCTACTTTTGTTCAGCCCAGGGTCAGCACACAGCCACAGGATTCATTCAATGAGGATGGACATACAATAATGTGCCTCAGCGCGAGTGTATGTGGGCGTGGTTTAGTGTATGTGGGCGTGGTTTGGTGTAGACAGCTGTGTAACGTGCTGAACTTGGCCGGATATTAGTTCATCTCAGTCCAGATAATATCAACCTGTCAGTTTGTTTTTATTTTTCTTATAGTTCACTCTGCCTTGTGTTTAATGATGACCAGAAGATGAGCGTTGAACTTAATGCTGTTTAATCTGCATAAAAACAAAAGTGCACTGGTCAGAATCATCGCAGCGGCACCTCGTGTCATCTTCTCATTGAATGGACCTGCTGTACAATACACATGTAATAAACCCCTGTCTAAATGGAGCTTATACACACACCAGAGAGTTCTTTAAATTATTTTTCAAAGGTTAGAAATATGATCAATTTGTTAACAACAGTAAAACAAAACTCCTTCGAACATGTCAGAAGTGCAGGAGGGTGGCGCACGCTCTACTTAATAAACAAAAATCAGCTGTTCCGACAATTACAAGAGTTGAATATGAAGTCCTCTTGAACCCTCCAGGGTTGGGTCAAACTTCACCATGAAGCCCCAAACATCAGCTATCCTGTGCAAACTCTGGAGCTCCACCGGTCCGTATGCTGCGTTTCTCCACCTGCTTCACCTGCCACACACCCCTGCTGTCAAACTCATGTCTCTTTGTATGAGTTCGGGAAAAGCTGTGATCCAGTTTTCTCCTTGGACTTTGAAGATAAAATACACATCTACAAGACATTCTTGCATCTATAATACAAAAACATATATATATATATATATATATATATATATATATATATATATATATATATATATATAAATTTGAGTTATAGCCCCCCTGTTAGAAAGTCCACCAGCCGCGACTGATAATACCCATCGTCTGCCAACAATATTGTTTGTTTAATACCAGTACTAAGTCAAGAAATTTGTAATGGTATGTTATGATGAAGATCTATCAACAGAAATGAAAACTAAACTTTTCTAATGGGCGTCACGTAGTAAATGTTTTTAAAAAGTTGAATATTTTAATGTCAAATGTACAAGAATCAATATTGATTCCTTAACTTCGATTCAATATAAAATCAACACAACTGTAAATGTAGATTACCATTTAGATGATGATTGAATCAATATTGATATAGTATCAGTTATAGTTGAAAAACTAACGTTGATTCAACGTGTAAGTCACCGACCACTTTCTGTATAATTTCAATGTCAGGCTTCAACATTGATTCAATATTTCTGCCTAACCATATTTCACATTGATTCAATCGTATTTTGCTGTCTGGGGTCTCTTCAAGTTCACAGTTTCCAGACACATTCTTCTTAAAAAATTATTTAAAAAAATTAAAGAATTAAAAAAATTAAAAAAATCTTCTTAATTCTTCATCTGTACAAAGGAGATTGAAACTATACCTCTTTTCACAGCAACACTTTTTTTTTTTTTTTGGGTCCGTATTCCAACTCTGTTGTTGTAGGCACTGATTTAGTTTGGTCTGGTTGTTCTGCAGCCCTGAACACAACAGGTACCTGAACTCAGCACGGCTATTTTAGTTAACTTTATGGTTGTTAAATAAATGTGAACAAAACAAAAACAGAGTTTATCTGCTAAACTCCATGTAAATTACTTTCAAATAAACTGTGGTCCGTGCTCCACCACCATGGTTAACCAATGCTTACTGCTACTTCCTGTCTGACAGGAAGTTGTACCCAGAATCATTTAGACAGTAGAGCCCCCAGGAAGAAAATGGATAGTGCAGTACCGTGTCATATGGTCTGATATGGTATGGCCACAAGTTCTGGACTGACTTTGATGTTCTGACTTTTTCGTTGTCTGCAAAAAATTCGACACTAAATATTTAAAATGAACATGTTCATTTAATTTGAAGACATATTCATAATAAGTTCATAAACAAAATATGCTTCAAAAAACAGGCAAAATATAAAAACCTGCATCAATGTTCAAATATTTGTGGAGCTAAATTCTTTAGGTTATTATAACCATATGTTGAAAAAAAAATGTTGTAATTTCAAACATCTTGTGTACCGAGCCTAGTACATTTTATTTGTGTATTTGTGTTCTGAGGGATGCACTGTTACTCTTAACTGTAATCTTAACATTGTTATAAAGTGCTTTGTGCTGAAAAAAAAACACAACTTTTTTTAACTGATCACATAAACAATTGCTCTGAACAAAGAATGCTCAAAAAGCAATTCACTAATATAAAAAGGCAGAAAAACATATTTGTTACAATATTGTTTGTAAAATATTATAAAATTGGTGCATGTGGCTCTCATTTGTAATAAATGGATGACGAGTTTAAATATTCCTTTAAAATGAATTGTTCAGTTCGTGTCTTTTAGTGGTTAAAGAAACGACTTGAACAATCAAAAACACTGAACCAAGTCAGTAAAACAATTTATCCTCCACTAGGGTTATTAACCTTGTGTTTCATGCTACTCTTGTTGTTGCTGTTCTTCCCACCGCAGCAGCCAATCACAATCTGTCCTCATGTCATGTGATATTTCTCCAGGACTTCCAGGTCTGCACAAAACCACGTGTTCATACAGTTTATCCTGAAAGACATCATGGTGTTTTTGTGTCTCCCAAACCTAATCTGCTCCTTCAGATGTTTGTGGTGGAGTGACTGGTGGAGAAGTTGTCCATGCGCAAACGAACCACCTTTCCGTTGGATGGTGGGGAATACAGAAGGTGGCGGGCGAAGACCTGATGGCAGGCTTTGCGGAAATTCTCTGACAGGAAGGCATAGAGGACAGGGTTAACACAGGAGTTTCCGTAGGACAGGCAGTGGGAAACAATGCGGAAGGCAAAGGAGGCGTCATTGAGCGGGAAGGTGCCAAACTCCACCCACATGGCGATGATGTGATGGGGCATCCAGCAGATGGTGAAGGCAGTGATGACAAGGAGGACAGTCTGAGCCGTCTGAGGGAAAAATAAAATGTTTCAATCAACAGGAGATGTTCACTGACCAGTTTAAACCCAACAGTTTTGATTAAAGGTGCTACAACATTGAAGCTCTTAGCAGCTGCTATTCTGCTGGATGCTGTTAAAATGATCAACTAGATGATCTAAGTCACTGTTCTGTGACACTTTACTCTGCAAAACAGAGGAAAACATTTGCAGAAATACTTTATTAATCCCAGAGGAAAATTAAGTGTTGTTGTAGCTCATCATCCTGGTTTCATTCAAGAGTTGTTATAGATGCTGATAGCTGTGGGCAGGAAGGATCTCCTGCAGTGAAGCCGTCCACCCAGATCCATCTTGCTGTCAGATCCGGCGGGCCTCTCGGTCCTCCTGGGCAGCAAGATTGCCCAAATGCCGGACAGAATTCCTCCCTGAGTGATGGTCACAGGGACACATCAAGGTTTTTCTACTATCAACTTTTATTCTTTTGATACTTTGAAAGTAAGACTGACTCTCATTCCCAAAGCTGGACAGTAAGAAACCATGTTACAAAAAATTGAATAACAAAAATCTGTTATTGTAATTAATTGCACACCTGTTATTATGATTTCAACAAAGCTGAAAGGCCCTTTGTATGAGAACCTTTCCATCTGACCTTTGAAATACAACATCTGAGCATTATTTGTATCTCTTCCTAAAAGGGAGGATTCGTCCTGCATTCTTAGAGTGAAGAACCACCCTATTGTTCCTCAAGGACTCTTTGGTAGTAGTGAATGTATGAAACAACATTGTCATCCCATGGTAGAAGTTATTTTTCTGAACAATTTAATTTTCTGAGTTCTCCTGAACACAACTGGATGTTTTGCTGTAAAACTGCTATGAAATAAGAGGGGTGGGCGGCTGTGGCTGAGTGGTTAGAGCAGTCGTCCTCCAATGTGAGAGTTGGGGGTTCGAATCCACCAGCAGTCACATGCTGAAGTGTCCCTGGGCAAGACACTGAACCCCTCATAGCCTCTGATGTGTGTCCCATCGGTGTATGAATGTGATCTAAAGCTCTGATTAGTCTCATTAGAATGATTTGTTCAATTAGCTTTGTAGAGATCTAGTAGAGCTGTATGAATGGATAAATGAGGCACAGATTGTTGTAAAGAGCTTTGAGTATCTTGAAATAAGATAGAAAGGTGCTATATAAGTACTGTCCATTTATCATTTACATCCATCCATCCATTTTCTTTACCCGCTTATTCCATTTTGGGTCACGGGGGTCGCTGGTGCCCATGTCCAGCAATCACTGTGCGAGGGGCGGGGTACACCCTGGACGGGTCGCAAGTCCATCACAGGGCCACATAGAGACACACGAGACAAACAAACATTCACTCTCTCACTCACACCTAGGGACAATTTAGAGTTACCAATCAGCCTAACATGCATGTTTTTGGACTGTGGGAGGAAACCGGAGTACCCGGAGAAAACCCACGCATGCACGGAGAGAACATGCAAACTCCACCCAGAAAGGCCCCTGGACTGGGGTTTGAACCAAGGACCTGCTCGCTGAGAGGCAGCAGCTCTACCAGTTGCGCCACCGTGCTGCCTTTTATCATTTACCAAATAACTTGTCTCCTTGTTTCTCAGCTTGGTACTCAGTTTAATCATGCATAAGAGAAAGTAGATGTAAAAAACTGTTAATCAGAAGTTTCAACTGTTGTTTGCACAAGTTCTAATGAAAATGTTTATGGATGAGTCAAACTTCTTAGAAGTCTTAATTATCCTGCTGTTATATTGAGTATTTACCAAAGCAGAGTAAATTATCCATTTATTGTTAATATTGTTATTAAAGTTCAAATGAAACAATAACCTGAAACAAAGGTCCACCCTTTCTGTTTTGATTGGGTCGACCATTGATATTGCACCGCCCTCTAAGTTAGAGAAAAGTTATTCTGATGTTTAGTTTAGAGCTCAGTCTTGGGGGAAGCTTTTGAAGAAGAAAGATCAAGCAATCAAAAATGTATTCCCGAAGATAAGAAGTTCCATGCAGAAAACGCAGCCCTCCGGAAGCGTCAACTGACCCATCGGGAGACAGTTATCGATCGACTCCAGATTTCAGCTGATGTCCAGTGTCGAGGGAATCCCACCTTCGACGCTTAACTCATCTCAAGAGAGTCCCTGGTAACCCTCAGGCAGTTGAACTAGAACTTCAAAAATCGGTAGGAAAAGCTGCTCCTTCTCTCTCTGCTGGTGTCTGGTGCTCAAGATAAGAAGGTGTCCAGTCTAAACAAAATTCATCATTATTAATTAGAATTAAGTTTTCCTAAATTGACAAATCACATCTAGCCAAAATACTTCTTTTAGTTAACTTTATAGATGATAATTTACTCTGCTTTTAACCCTCATAACTCACCATATTAAAGTTTAGAAGATAACTCCATAACCTCTTCTTGTGTTGTCAAATTAAAGTCATTATTCATTCTTCAGCTGTACTCATCATTTTGATCACTTATATTTACCAAAATGATAATAAACTTCACAAAATTGTACTTTGACTCTAAGCGTTTTTATTATACTATATATGACATTTGAATTTAATACGAAAATAACTCACTAGAGCACGAAAACTTCTGATTTCACATTTTTCTTGCTTAAGAACCGGAAAGCAAATGGTGCCCCTTCAGAATAAAATTACTAATCAAAATTCAACAATCTGGAGACCCCTTCCTCTACACATTGATGGAAGAGATTGTTTAAATTTGGTTACAGCATTTTCTGATAAGCACCTGCTGAGATGAAATTTACTCTCAGTGCCTGTGTAGTCATTTAATGTAAACTCAAAGGTTATTAAAAAATGGTCGGACAGAATGGGATTTTGAGGAACTATTACCAAGTCCTTAATCTCTATACCATAGGTCAGAACTAAATCAAGAGTGTGATGATAAGAATGAGTAGATGTGTGGACTTTTTGGGTAAAACAAAATGAGTCTATTAAATTATTAAAGGCTATGCTTAAGCTATCACTTTCAACACCTACATGAATATTGTATTGTATTTAGTAGTAAGTCAGTTAAGAATTCGGAGAATTCGGACAAAAACTGAGAGTAAGCGCCTGGTGGACGATATATAACAACTAGTAAAAGTGGCTTTTCTGATTTCCATTTTGGATGAGAAAGACTGAGGGACAGCGATGCAAAAGAATCATAACTAATAACTGGTTTGGCATTAATCAATAATCCTGACTGACAAATAGAAGCTACTCCTCCACCTCCGCCAGTTTTTCTAGGATTATATATTTATTATTATATATTTTCCGTCATATACAGGAGTCCAACAATTTTCAGTCAGGTCATCTGGACAGTTTTTTTTTTTTTAATTAACAGGAGTGTATTCATTTATACTAACAAAATCCCCCTGTTGTAGCCAGGATTCTGTCAGACAGAATAAATCAATATGACACACACACCTGCTCTTTATTAGGGATGAATGTATGTTACTTCCTTTGTTTCAATTAATTTCAGAGCTCGACAGAATGGTCATGACAACTTCTACAGTTGTGCTCACTTTGTGCTGGTCTCTTGGGGTGAAGAGGGAGAAGAGCTGCAAGTACAAGCTCTCTGTGACAATCTGCATTCCTACCTTCTCCTGTGGTGACAAACTCTGGATGATGAACGAAAGAACAAGACTGCAGATACATGTGGTCAAAAAGAGTTTTCTCCATAGCATGTATGGACTCTCCCAGAGAGAAATTCAGTTTTCCTGTAGGGGGGCAGTTGAGGTGTTTCAGGCATCTGGTAGGGATGCCCCCTGGACACCTCCCTATGGAGATGGAGATGTTCTAAACATGTCCAGCAGGGTGTCTGCTTTCCCTTAGAGATAGGGTGAGAAGCTCAGTCGTCCGGGAGGGACTCAGAGTAGAGCCGCTGCTTCTGCACGTCGAGAGGAGCCAGTTGAGGTGGCTTGGGCATCTGTTTAGGATGCCTCCTGGACGCCTCCCTGGTGAGGTGTTCTGGACATGTCCCACCGGGAGGAGACCCAGGACACGCTGAAGGGACTATGTTTCTCGGCTGGCCTGGGAACGCCTCGGGATTCCCCCAGAGGAGCTGGCCCAAGTGGCTGGGGAGAGGGAAGTCTGGGCCTCCC